CTGATACTTCAAAATGGGCAGCACTGTGTTGTGACCTCACTGCTGCATGACCTTCAGTTCTGCCTACCCTAAATCCCATTTATACTGGGCTGAGCTGTTCACTCTAGAAACAACCTGTTTATCTCCTCTGAAGAAGAGAAACAAGATGTGTTTTCTAAATTGGAATTAAAAAGAAAAATCCTGTTTTCCTTGTCGGTGGTAACTGAGGTGGAAGTGTTGGGCTTGTTTAAGTAACCTTTCCAAATTGCTAAATTTTTAAACATGTTCGTATATTTTTTTTATTGTCATGTTGCATATTACCCATCTCCTTTTTTTCTTAATATTTTGTGCTGCTAGAGGAAAATGCATGAAAAATTAGGCACTGAGCCTTAAATAATAATTTTTAATACTGCCACAGTACAAACAATATAATTGCTCTGTGGTGTTGGTAACAAAAGGCATTCCCAAAGGGCATATATATTGCAGTCCATGCTGGGGTATCAGGGAAGTTCACGTGTACCCAACTCTTAACAGTAATGCAAAGCCAAGAAGGTCAAATAACTTTCAGTCTTTGCAGAATGTGGGAAAATACTTGAATGTGCCATTACAGAATGAAGTAACAAATATTTTTTTAATGGTTATTTTCTCAAATAGTCTTTTCAACTGCTGTGTATGACAGCCTTGTGTTAATGTAAGTTTCCTGTTTGAACAGCTCTTGCAAACTGTGCCCATTCACTAAAATAGTGATTTGACTTCCATTAAACACAATAGGTGGGTACTCAGACTAAATAACAAAGTATTTTAAAACTTTGTCACCATGTGATCTGCATGGCAAAATAATGCTGTAAAGAAAAGCGCTGAAAAACCAGCCGCATGTGCTCCAAGGAGGAAAGGAGTGCTGTCAAGGGATTACAGTTGTTAAAATTTCTAAGAGCTGTTTCAGTGTGTCAATAGGTGAGCATTGTTACTCTGTCAGTAACTTAGGCAGAAGTTTGCTAGATTTTTCTCAGTGGCTACCAGAGCCTTTCTAATTAGAGCTGGAGCACTCTGGTGAACACAGTTCTGTGTCAGGTTTGAGTGCCTGAAAAAAATTACCAAGATGGTGACAGCAATAGCAAAGCAGGTTCAACTGAATGCATTTCAGTCACTCACTATCCTGACATAAAACCAGGCTCTCCTGATTTGCTCTCCTGAGCAGATTTTAACCAAGAAACTTAAATAATACAAAAGACAACCTGGTGAATCCTCCTCTTGCGTTGCAGAAGCTTGAAGGAGGAGGTGTAAGGTGGGTGTTCCAGAGGCCTTTCAGCAAGGCCTCTGGAACAAGGGAGTGCTGGGGGTCGACTGTGCTCCATCACTTAAGGACATTAGAGTTGCTGAGATGATACCTTCTATCTCAACCTCTTTTCTATTTGTGGAACTGCCTTTGCGTACCAAGTGCTTAAAATAAGGGTCTGGGTTTTGTGTGAATGCCTTTGTTGAGTTGCTAAAGCTGGGTAGCACATTCCTGCTGCTCATTAGCTGCTGTGCTGTTGACTCAGTTGTAATCACAAGACTAGCATCTCCACTTGTAGTCAATGGACTAGTCAATGGAAAAGTACAGGTATACCTGTGGACAGGGCTTGGCTTGATGTGTTAATTGTAAGGATCTCAGCTTGACTTTAATACTCCAAATTAATTTTGTAAGATTGACAGCTTGGGAAGAGTTTTACTTACAGTATCTAATAAGGACTCATTAATAAAAAAAACCCCTAAACAGGGTTACCAGCTCACAGTCCAGTAACACACAGCCCAGTATCCTGTTTCTGGTGAGGGGAAATAGTGGCTGAAGAAGGGGTGCCCTGCTTGCTTGTGGCTGTTGTGGTTTGTCTGTTTTTTAATACAGTGACAATTCCTTACTTTTTTCTCTCTGATTCTGGCCCTTGGGTTTTTTTCTTTAGGTGCAGTGGAGCTGGCATGTTTTCTTCATAGCAGAATCTGAACTTTGGGGTTTAATTTCTGATAGGTTTTTTTTGTTTGTTTGTTCCAGAGCCTAGACAATTAAACCACTGTTTCCAAACACTCCGCCTTTCTACAGTTGATTTTGGAAGTGCTGTTATATCAGAATTCTTTTGAATCCTTGTTTTCTTTCACTTTTATCTAGAAATGTTTCATCATTCTTTGTTTTGATGTGGTTTGTTTTCATCATCTTTCACCCCTAATCCACTAAGGAACTAAATATTTAATGGAGTTTACACTGGAGGGCAAAGTCCTGGCACCTTAAGAAGCTGGTTTGAAAAAGCTGGTACATGCAATGTCCCATGTGACACAATGCTGGACACAGGGCATTGCAGAGCATGCGACGGAGGTTTCCTTTGGTCAGGTTCTCTTAATGAGCTGTTTGTGGCTTCTTGAAGGACTGACTGGGAGGTACCAGCAATGTCTGCCAGGTCAGTCAGCAGAAATAGCATAGTCTGCACTCAGAGCTGGCTGCTCCTGCCCTCCTCTGGAGCCCTGACTAGCTTCCTGTGGTCTTGAAGTTGGCTGGCTCTTCCTGGCCATTCTGATGCATATTTTATAGTATACGAAGTATTTTGGGGTCACTTTGAATGGAAGAAAATGTCAAGCACTCAACTGTTCTTGTTGTTATAATAGTACATGGACATGTGGAAAACACTCTAAAATGGATCTGAGGACGTGGGTACTCCTCCTTCAATGACTAAGTCCACGGAAGACGTTATCGAGCTCCCTAGGTTTATACAGATGGAATGAGTCATGTCCTTTTCCACCAGAGGAGTTCAATGCCAGAACTTGCCTCCCCAGCCCATGTGCCAATATGGCAGTCCAGATCTACTGACTCATTTTACACTGTATGACCTTGCAAGATCTGTGTTTATTCAGCCTCAGGGAGCAATATAAGGGCAGTTTTTCAGCCTTGATTAAGTACAGAATGAGAAGGGGGAAGGGGTGTGTGTGTATGATAAATATGCAAAGTGTTGAAGAAATACTTTGAGTTATTGAAGGAAGTGAAGGCTCTAGATAATAAAAGGTAGTTGATACAAAACCTATTGTTTAATGACCAGCTAAAGCAGTATTTGCTTCACCATTCACCACCAGTTTGACAATAGAATTCTTTGTTGCTAATTTTAGTTTTGCCAAGATTCGTCTGCAGGGCTGTGGGTGGTCTGCATGCTGGAGAAAAAGAGCTTGTCAGATCCTCAGCAAGGACTGGTTATGGAGCAATTCTGAGATCACTGTCTGAGTGAGAGCCCCCTGCAAGCTCCTACCTGCCCTCTCTAGTATGAAATAAACCGCCTGCAGTAACAAGTTGAACAATGTAATTCAAACCTCAAATACCAAACTGTGGAACACAGTATTCCTGGAGCTGAAGTGCATGTCCAGGAAATGCATGCAGCAGTAATGTCTTGTATACCTAGACTCAAGTTTTCTTCTTTTTTCTCCAGTTTAATTCTGATGTACAGAACATTGTGAGCTGAAAATAATCTTCTTTATGTTCTCTGCTTACTGCATCAGGGTTTTTTTCCAAGATTCTGCTTCTGAATACAACTTTTTGCATACACACATATATATATACACACACACACACACAGATAGAGATTATTTTTTCAATTAAAATAAATATATTCAGGTAATTTCTGCTTTATTTTAAGGCAAAATAATATTTTTTTTTAATTACAAAAATTTCCATTGGTAACTTTTAAAATACTACATACCACCAGCAAAAAATACTCTTCTAAGTGTTCTATTAAACTTACTGTACTTACTTTAGGTGGGCTGAAGAACAAACATACTGGGCCATGACTTATGCAGCCAGTTTCGTCGTGGCTGACTGCTTTTTTCCCCAGAGGCAAAGGGTGTACAGTAGGAGCTATGTAGGTAACTTCCATATGGGTCACCCTGCTTTTGAAATCTCAGCCAGCATGTTTTTTCTTTATACACAATCAATTTTTCTAACTTCAAGTAGTGTTCAGTCACTCTTATTCTCATGATCTCTGCAAGACTGTTCTCTGGGTTGTCTCCTGTACGATGGCAGTTTCAATTCTTCCGTGTCTTGCTATTCCTTGCTAAAAATTATAAAAATAGCATAAAGAAATTATTTGTTTGTTCCTTTTCCTTGGTGCATGAAAATGTGCCCCGTAATATTTGAGTCATTTGTCTTACTGACCTTTGGACTCTTTACATAGCAACAAGTGCTTTTGTTTATTTGTTATATTCTATCTTGTACTTCTTATCACAGCCATAGCTCTGCCCACATATATCACCTTAATTTTAATACAAGTCAGGGAATTCTAACAGTACAGCAAATTATTTCTGAACAGCAGCGCTGTCTGAAATACTAATACTGGTTTATTTCATCAGGACAAAAGACAAAGTCTTCAAAAATGCAGTAAACATCTAAGCTTGTATTCAGACACACAAAGGCACTCTGTTTCAGAGGTGCTCAGGAGGTACAAGAGGTCACTGCACAGTGCTCATGAATCAGACTGCCTTACGGAAAGCCCAGTTATGTACGGATTTAGGATATTAGGTTGAGAGTCTTGGTTTATATGCCCAGAGGTCACTGAAAGTAGAGCGGGCTTTTAGGTGCTCTGGTCCTTCTTCGGTAAAATAAATTTCTAGCAGAAGAAGTTACTGTAAGGTTTGTAAAAATCTCCCTGTAATCTTAATATTCCATATGTTATACAGCATGCTGATCTGCAGAACTCCTCTGAGATATGGTTTTTAGATGAGAAATTTTAAGCAAGTTGATTAGTCTGAAGTTTTGAGGGATGCTATTTTATAATTCTCCTTCTCCCTCCCATGCAATACCTGATTTGTCATCATGTAGCTACTTATATTGGCCAGCGCATTCTGTGTAGGTTTTTCTCTACTAAATTCTGTGAAATTCTTTCAAGGTTTTTTTTAGGCATCCCTTTGTTTTACTTCCCAGGGGGCAGGTAATGTATAAGCCAGCTCACTGCTTACCTAATGTCTCACAGATAGGGAGGGAGGGAAAAAGCAGGGTAGGGAGAGTACGTCACATTGAAGGAGGAGGGGAGCGAAGAAAAATGAGCTTTCTTAAACGAATCATGTGCAGAGGGACAGGCTGCCAGTGCTCAGGCAATCCTCAGCAGTGGCTCTGCTCTCTTCCCTGCTGGCCATGATGCAGGAAGAAGCTGGAGTCCTGAAGGAGGGCTTCCTTGTCAAACGGGTAAGTGCTCCGGTTCCCCTTCGTGTGGTTCTACTCAAATGCGGAAGCAACCCCTGAGCAGGGACTGGATCGAGCCAGGACTCATGGCAAGGCAACCTGTTGGGTGCTGGGTTTGAGGGGCTCCTGCCTTCTCCTGGGAAAGGAGCTCCTTCAGATTTGTGCAGATGCCTGCCAGGGGAGCTGCATGAACTGCAGGTGTTCACTACCCACCCTCAAGTTTCCCTGTGTTGGCATTTACCCAGAGGAAAGTGAATTAGCTATCAGGATTGCTCAGGTGTTAGAAAACCAACATGTCTGCACCTCGCCCACACCTCTGCAAAGAGCACATACGCGGCAGCAGTGGGAGCGACCATGGGAGGACTGAGAGAGGGGAGATGTTTTGACAGTCTCTTAAGACAGCTTGTGCCTTCTTTAGTGATCCAGCTGAGCAAGGTTTCCCATTTCATATGAGAGAATGGAGAATAGATTATCCTTTTTGAAGGGGCTCAGAGCAATGCAAACATAAAAATGCATTTGAAATAACTTCTTTCTTCCACAACCTCAAGCCAAAACGTGGTGAAAAGAGCTGAAAGATGGTGTCACAGATTTCAGCCTTCCCAATGTTTCTCCCCGTAAGATCAAGTTAGTCACAGCTGGGACACAAGAAGGCAATTTAGGAAGTGACACAAACTGCTCTTAGTACCATGACCCTGTCTCAATGATTAATGTGGTCCTTGATTTCATACAAAAAATGTGATTCAGATGTTTGTTCAAAGCTTTGCCACGCCTTGGGAAATGCTTTTCTACAGTACGTGGCAGTGTTTCTGGTGCTAACACGAAGGTAAACCTGGTCAGGAGCTCTCCTGGCAGGGCTCCCAGCCAATCAGGCAGCCAGTCACTGGCCACATGAAGCCATGCTCTATGTGGAGAAGGGGCTATTCCCCTTCCTCCCTTCTGCAGAAAGGGCAGAGCAGTCCTAGCTCTTGGTCTCTTTTCTGAGCTATAGTTGTATTTTTTGGCTCTTAAGTGACTACTGAATTCAAGATAGGAAGCCAAGGCACCAAGTGCATGAGACGAATAGGTTATCACAACACACTAAACTGTGACTGCCAGCAGTCTGTACAACATCACTGAGACACACAGTTTGATAGGACAGACACCACAAAGAAAGCAACTAAGGGAACTGAGGGAGAAGGTCTCCAGGGATCCAGAGACAAAAAAGGAGGAAGGGATGGGATCAGGTAAAGAAAACAGAGCTTTCTTAAGAAGAGAGCAGAAGCCAGGAGATGATCTAAATGGATTATAAATTACTGAATTATGTATCGTAATGCATTATAAATACAAAATCAATGTGTGGAAGTCAGATAAAGATAAAGCAAAAAACGTAAGGCAGCCTCTTGAAACAGAGAACATCTCCAAGAAGGAAAGAAAGGAGCCATAGCAAAGAACATACAGGAAAAACGTCCAAGGGACTTTACAACACAGGATGCAAAGGGAAGGAGAACAAACCCAAATTAGACAAATTGTATTTAGTATAGACTAGAAGACGTTGGATCTAAAATGCCCTGGGTTTTAGAGACTCATTACCCCACCTTTACTTGGAAATTGCTGAGTTTCCCCTTCATTCACAGATAATTAATGAGCTTTGACTCCTGCCACAACTGGACCTTACATTTTCCTTTCTTCTATCCATGCCCACCCTCTCCCAGGTGTCAGAGATTCCTCTACCCCATGCTTTGCCTGCTGACTGTAGTATTCCACTGCCTGTAGAAACACAAGTCAGGTCCTCACACGGCAAAGCTGGACTTGACACCATCTGACAAGACTGAGCCTGCCAGTGCCAGCCCCCGCTGGTTTTGCTCATCCTTTAGCCAGACTAAAGAGAGCTGGGGGCTGTTTACAGAGAGGAAATAGGAGGTTTTGTCTGTATTTTGATATAACTGAGGAGTCACTCAACAGCAGCCTTTATTCAGTCTTTTGTCCGTAAAAAACATATTTCTTTTGCAGGAAACAGTAGCACAGGGAATGTTTTAGCCCGGGAGATTGGAGGCAGGTAGGATAGAAATTAACTACTTATTAGTAGTAAGAGGGGAGGTAAGGAAAAGCTAATTCATCAACCAAAGCATTTGCAAAACCACTTGGCATCTAGAGTCACAACAAAATGAAGAAAAAAAAGACTTCCCCCAGGGTCACTGTAAAAGAGGAATTGGTTGTCAAGAGCCTTCACACATTCTGTATTTAGCCCTGTTCCTGCCTGTACTGTCAGCAGACAGGTGTGTGCCTAAATGACAGCTCTTTATAATTCATGTGGGTTTTGCAAGAAACAATTCTTGCCATTAAAGAAATTTTCCTTGCTGAAAAAAGAGCAAAGCACTTTTCTATTGCTCTGTGATTTTATAGTGATGGAGCTGTTCTATTTTGTTACTAAAAACATGTATTTCAGGGAGAACAGGACTTATGGTGACTTTCTCTGTTTCTTTTTATACAGTTTCCTATTAGTTCATGGTATTTTCATAACAAAACAAAAAGAAGGGGAAAAAAAAATATGGTAATTTCTCTATGCTTGTGTTAAAGTTTGCTATGTGCATTTCTTCCTTTCTAGGGGCATGTTGTTCGTAACTGGAAAGTGAGATGGTTTGTTCTGCTTCAGGATAAGCTGCTGTATTACAAAATTGAAGGAGGCAAGAAGGAGCCTTCTCCAAAGGGCAGGATCCTTTTGGATGGCTGCACTATTACCTGTCCATGCCTGGAATATGAGAACAGACCGGTATGACTGAAAATATGTATCTCTTCTCGATGTCACTCACTTTCTAACTTCTCACTAGTCTTTTCCTCTCCTCCTGACTTCTTTGATTACTGCAACCATACCACTGGGGTGCTTGCAGAATTTGGCCCAGCTAAAAGCAAGCTACCATTAGCAATGTAACCCAGACAGGCAATGAACCCCTTCTTTATGTCTTTGCTCTTTCCTGTGCCCAAATGTGAGTCACAGTCATTAACAAAAAAAAAAAAAAAATAAAAATCACTATTCCTGTGCACACAGTTCACTGAAAAAATGCAAATGCATCAGCCCAACAGTGTGCAGAGAGAGGATATGAACAGTTCAATAAAAGCTGAGGATGGGAAAAAGGGGAAACATTATCTATGGTAGTTGCCTTAAAACATGGCTGCATCCATGGGGTGCCCCCAGGCAGGCAGATCAGACTCCCTTTTCCTTCATCAATGGCACATTGCTGCTGTAGAAATTTTACAGCAAGAGGGCTCTGGAATGGAGCTTCTCTGCTCGCCTGTGGGTAGCAGCAATACAGACTTCCTCTGCATGGGGCCAGAACGGAAATGACTGGAAGTTACTGATCATTTCAGGACTTCTCATGGCAGAAAGAACCTAGTGTTGGTTTGTAGTTGTTGAGACCTGGATGTGAAAAGCTCCACAGTCAGCAGCACACTCCAGTAATCCATTCCGTGGTCTGCTCTCTTAAGTACTGCGACCTCCATGGATGTGAACCATGCTTGGAATTGAAAATCCAGGGATTTGAGGGGGATGATAGCAAAAACACACAAAAAACCCCAAACGCAGAGTTGTGCCCACAATCCTTCTGAACAAGAATTGCCCTGAACTGCTCAGCTGGGATCAGACTTCTTTGTGTCTCTTTGACCAGTGCTAAAAGAAGCAAAATGCAAGAGGAGGGAAATAGCTAAAACAATGTTATTGCTTTGCACTTCTTTCTCCACAGCTACTAATCAAACTAAAGACAAAAACCAACACAGACTATTTCCTTGAATGTTGCTCCAGGGAGGAGCGTGACTCCTGGGCTTTGGACATCACTGGAGCTATTCATGCTGGTCACCCAGTACAGGTACAAGAACTTCACAGAATGAAGAACTCTTTCAAACTGCTAGATAATATCAGCCTCCAGTAAGTGTATGCCATTTCTCCTTCTATTGCTCTAGTTCACAAAGCACCTGAGCTGATGGATGGGGAGGGTCAAGGGAAGCTCCACTGTGCACTGATCCACTCCCATGTGACCAGGATGCTCTAAAGTGGCTAACCCTGTCCTAGGTTTGCACATACTTTTGCCAGAGAATGCACATTTTCCTGACCATCATCTTTCGGGAGTATGTGGATTCTGCACCAACACTTCACTGCTGGCTTGGAGACCTTTCTAGTCAGCTGCAAATGTTCTCACTGGGGAGATGTATTACCTCAGAAGATGAATTATCAGGGAAAGACTGGGTAGTGACATTGTTCATGCCATGTTGGTGAGCTTTCAAAGCTGGTAGCTGGAATCCAGAGTAAGATTTCATGTTAAACAAGAGGAAATAGAGAACTGATTAGGAAATAGAAAAATTTCATTAATTTTATTTGTCTTGAGCAGGTTAATCAAGGCTGACTATAGATCAGTTTGAAGTACTTTAAATTGTAAAATACTTTGTGAGGCATCTTGTTTAGTGCTGCTGTTGGGAGAATGAAGTTTTCCTAGAAGTTATTTAGGACAAATATTCTGGAGGAGTACTTAGAATACTTCTCATCTTTATATGGGTAATTACGAGGACACCCCAGGAGCTGACAGAAGTACATGGCAATTTCTGCCTGTCTTTCTCATCTACTGATGTGCTGTACTCTCACTTACAGTGACATAGTGGAGAGAATGTATGACAGCAATACTGGAATTAAACTGACCCGCAACTTGGATCAAGGCAACAGATATAAAGAGACCTTCACAGGTACACCTACTGCAGGCATAGAGCCACCTCACATCTGACATGCCACACTGTAGAGGCAAGGGAGCTACTATCCTGCCTTTCGTAGTGGGATCGGTTGTGGCCCAGTGGTGCAGCCAAGCTCTCCAACACCTTTCTCTCTGGCTCTTGGATATATGGAAGCACTCATAGGACCCCACACAAGGTCAACCTCACACTTCATTGACAGCCTCTGTGATGGTGTCAAAGTGTTTCAGCAAGTGAAAACATGTGGCAGGAGACCATCTGCCTTTCCTCAGAAGAGCACACTGTGTTGGTATGAAAGCTGCCTTTCTTTCTGCAGGTTCTGCCCTGGTGGACTGGCTCATTTCCAATAGCTTTGCTGTGTCACGATTCGAGGCTGTCACCTTGGCATCCATGCTGATGGATGAGAACTTCATCAGGCCTGTGGGAACCCGCAGCACTGAGGCCATGCGCTTCAGCGACCCCTCCGAAAAATTCCTTGACGACTCCACCGCACTGTACATGTTTGTAAGTGATGCAGCTGCCAACAGAAGCATATCCTCTGCCCCCTGTCACATGCTTGATTTGGGACAGTGGTGAAGAGGACACATAGAGCTTGCAATCAAAGGCAAAATATGCGGGCTGAGAAAGTAAATATGCAGAAGGATCATCTCTAGGCTGTTAGTAGTACTAACACTGGCACATTTGCTGGAGGCAAGTAGCTACGTGGTTATGGAGGGATCTACAAATTACATAATTGGGCATTAAAAGGGGTGTGTCCCTGGAGTGCAGTGCTGTGTCTGCATGTATCGGAGGCCATGCTGCAGTTCTGCTCCAACTCAGGGTCACAATACATGTACACGTGCTTGTTAATCTTGGGACTACAAACAAGGCTTAGCAGCAGAGCTATGAAGTAGAATTAGCTCAGGAAATATGGGCTAAAAACAGCTCAAGGAAAGTAAAATGCAGAATTTTGTACTTAAAAGTGTGTTTAGATTAAATAAAAAATGAAACCATCTTTACCCTATCTGCAGGCTGAGAACAGTAAGAAAAATACCAGTTCCAAGGAAGAGGTACAATTTAACATCTCTGAATTAAGTGGCACAATTGTGAAGCAAGGATTCTTAGTGAAACAGGTAAGCACAGCCTTTGAACCTGCACTGGGAAACAGAAAAAATGTCAGCTAGTAGGGTTTCTTAGAGAATAAATGTGATTTACACAAGCCAGGCTGAAGAGTGGTGGCCAGTAGAACTAGCTTGCCTGTCAGAACTACTACTAGAGATCATGCAGTGAAGAGGATCTAGTTTTAAAGAAGTGAGCTATGGAACTTGCTGCTCAGGCAAGATTAATTGGATATTCTGTATATATTGAATGTATACTGAAAGGTACAAAACAGTATCAGAAGCAAAAGTCCCACATAAACTCCAAATCCTACCAGAGGTGTTACATTCACTTTGAAGCAGAGCCACTGTTCCTCTGGTTTAACATATCCCATCTGGGTAGTGTGAGCAGTGACAATTCTTTGCTGGCCGCAGACAAATTTCAAAGCTGAGTAGTTTGACTTTTCTATGATGTGGACATTTACCTGTGGGCAGTCACTCGTGTACATGTGGGTGCTCTGGTGGCGGTGAAATCTGTTGGCAATAATTGTTTAAAAGATCAGTCTGCAAGATTTAATTTCTGACCCTTGCTGTGAACAAGATGAGGGGCAATCATGCTGCTTCAAAGCATAACACAACCACCTGCAAATGGAACCCTACCTGCACTGTATGGCCACATTCCTACTCTGGAGCTTTGTACCCAGAGCTCTGACTTTGGTGTTGTGCAAACTGGATCACCAGATGCTTCCCAACCCTCTGTTCTCCAGTTGCCAGGGTGCCACAAGGGTTGGTAGGGCACTGAGGGATCCCCACAAGGGTTGGCAGGGCAGCCCCTCCATCACCAAAGGACATGAGAGCTGTCCAGGAGCTTCTTCCCATGGTCAGCAGCAGCAAGGGGCAGCCCCCAGAACCTCAAAACCAGAGCTGCAAAAGGATCTGACATAATCCCTTCAGAGCAAACATGGAATGAGTTTTTAATCTGAGACCCATATTTAATATTAAAAGCGGGAATCAGGGATATATTCATTTGGTCCTGTCACTTTGCTTTCTTAGTTCTCAGCACAGGGAAGGAAGAGAGGAAGGAATTATCAATGTGTGAAGAAGGAAAATAAGCAGAAAATTCTGGGAACTACCAAAATGTCAGGAAAGATTTTTCTCTGTTGGCTCCAAAAGCTCTTTTTTTGGTACATATTTATATCTCCCCTACAGCCTGCAGGAAAATGGCCATTTCAGGAGTTGGTAACTTTAATTCTACCATTTTTCAGGGGCACAAGAGGAAAAACTGGAAGGTGAGGAAATTTGTTTTGAGAGCTGATCCTGCTTTTTTGCACTACTATGACCCCACTAAGGTATGTGAGTGGGAAGTTACTACCCCTAGAAATCCTCTTGAAAACCTAAATATTATAATGAAAATGCAGTTATGCTGTAAATATTTCTCTCACACAGATCTCTTTCTGGGTTCCTCTGTCCATTTCCTGGAGAATTAGACCTCTCTGGCCTTACCCTAGGAGGCTGACCTTGTAGGATTTTGTATCTTGCATCTTCCATCCTGTCTTTTTCACAGTGAGATTCCTTTTCTTTAGCCAAGAGGCAGAAGTCTTATTGTAATTGGTCTTCTGCTGCACCCACACAGTCTGGGACCATGGTCCTGCAGGGATTCTTCCTGGGATGTGATCTTTCTGGGCTGATATCCCAGCACTTGAGGGTCATACTGGTACCGGGATTTTTTACATTCTTATTCTAACATTGAATAGGATCTCCTTGATGACAAAGTATTTATAGGAATTTCTACTACTCAGTTTTAAACTTGCTCATGGAATAGTAGAATTTATTTTCATGGATATAACAATCAATATGAGCAACCCAGATGCATAGGGTACTACACTGCCTGTTCCTTTGTGGTTTTTTTTTCCACTGGAACTCATCCTTATCATACTATAAACTCAAACTACAGAACCTGAAGGCAGAAAGAAGAAACAAGAGCACCAGCCAACTAGCGAAAACAGTCAGATTTTTCCCATACAGTCTCAGCAAAAAGCAGCAAGCTAAAAACTTGCAGAAATATATATATAATATTCAATGTGTGTTGTTGATAAAACTATACATAAATTTGAAACGTGATTGCCAACCCTTGTGCTTTTAACTGATCTCTCCCATGCCCAGCTACATCAGATAAACATCTACGATTCAAACAATATAGTAATGCATTTAATTATATGTTCTAATTGACTTCTTTTGTGACATGGATGTATCATACGTGGAAGGACTGGCATTACATCCCCAACTTCCTAAAAATAATGTATGTGCTCTGGGAAGTTATTCTAATGATATTTTCTAGGTAAGTCTTGTTTCCCTTTTCTTTGCAGGAAGAAAACAAGCCAGTTGGTGGATTCTCCCTCCGAGGTTGTCTTGTCTCAGCTCTAGAGGACAATGGAGTCCCAGCAGGTAAGCACAAGCCTCTAAACTTTTGTACATACATATTTGTGATACAGCAATACAGTCTTTAGGTATGGGTTTGTGTGTATGGCTGTTTGTATGCACAAGTGTGCTGGCCCTTCATTTCCCTTCACAAGCAGGAGAAGAAGCATGTCACAAATCCCTGTGCTGCTGGGTTGTCCACACCAAAGGGGACTTTTTTTAGCATTATTTCCACATACCTTGGGCATTTCCAAGGTTTTATGGGCTTTTTATGGGCTTTTCTTAGTTATATGACCTCTGAGACAGTCCTAAGACACTGATTAATATTTCAGAGTTAGCAAACAAAGAGGAAACTCCTTCATTTTGGATGTTGTTTAACTCAAAGTTTTGAGGCATCCTCTGATGCCATCACTTTTCTGCATGTCCTCTCTGCTTATGCTATTACCTCTTCCTTTTTGATCTGCTAGAATCCAAATATAGGGGAGACATAAACACAGCAATACAAAAAACAGTTCTGCAAGAGCATATGCTTAGCTTAGGCAGTTGTCTAAAACCTTGGCCTTGCAGATGAGTGTTTCTGCTGTGAAAGCAATTTATTTTATGAGAGCAAGAACAATATTCGGATCTCAAATACTGAACATCTTTTAAAGAGAAGGTCTAAAAAAGCTTTGGTCTGGAGCAGGGGGACATGATAGACAATAGATTTCCCTGCTAGGAGGAACCCAAATATAGGCAGAAGCAAATCTATCTACTGTACAAACTGGTAGGGAGTTCATCCCTCCAGTGTATAACTCGAGTAATAGTCTCCATCTAAAGAGAGACTACTATACATATGTTGCCTAGTGCACAGTAGTTCATACAATCAATGGCAGGAACGTCTGTACTATATCTTTATTTTCATAGAATCACAGAATCATCAAATGGTTGGAGTTGGAAGGACCCCAGCAATCATCTTGTTCCAACTCCCCTGCCACAGAAAAGGTCACCTTCCTCTAGAGCAGGTTGCTCAAAGCCCTATCCAACCTGGCCTTGAACACTTCCAGGGATTTTGCAGAAAGAAAATCAAAGATGCAAGAGCTTTAAAGGTCTTATCCATAACAAAAAGGAAAGATTTGATTGTGTAATTACCTAAATTTAAATTCTTCCCTATGAAACTTCATATTTGCCAGAAAACCTTTCTCTGCACACTGTCCTGATTTTTTTTTTTTCTCTACAGGAGTGAAGGGCAATGTGCAAGGCAATCTCTTCAAAATCATCACCAAAAATGACATTCATTATTATATCCAGGCCAGCTCCAAGGCTGAGCGAGTGCAGTGGATTGAAGCAATCAAACCACTGACATGAGTAACATGGACTCCATGCCAAATGACGTCACATTTGTGAACAAGTTTTCTTCTCTCATTTTCTGGGAGTATTGTTATCCCCTTGATAGTCTATTTCTGTTATTTGAATTACCATAACACTTAGCAATTCCTGGTAGACCAGCATCCTAGGTGTCTTAAAGTCATATAGATCCAGAATAATTCTCCACCAAGAATTTACCATCTAACAAAGAGACAAAAGACAATAGGTGGATACAGACAAATGGGGCTTTACAATGAAATGATGAGATACAATATTCCAAGACAGAAGAAAAGAATCTCTTGTACAAGTATTCAGTTTATACCTGACAGATCCACATTGTGCTTTATCTTAAAGCAGAAATATCTTGCTTATTTCCCCTTTATAAAGGGGCTCATAAATTAATTAGTTAAGACTGAAACATCAAAGTCATGAAAGGTGCTGATGTCTGAGGCTGCCTTTCTTGGTATACCACACGAATCTTGTGCTAAGCCACAATCCAGCTGCCAGGATAATCAGTACTGCAAAACAAACAAGGGATCTGTCTGTCCATCCATCTGCTTTACTGTTTGGCTCTCTCTTAGACTTGAAAAAACACAAAGCATCTTCCTCTCCACTACATAGATTGCTCTTGTGCTGGTACAAGATCCTGAGTATCAAATCAGACCAGTGGCAGTTCCAGACAATTGCTGGTGCTGAATATATTGGAAGAAATCACTCAGCTATAAAAGCGAGACTTTTCCTTCTATTATCATCATAAGTTCATTTATGTTGGAGAACCATTTGGACTGAGAATTACAGTAGCAGATATGGCTATTGCTTTTTCTATCTTAGGTCATTAGTTCTTCCATTATTTTCTACTAAACTTGTCTTTGATATCATTAAATATTAAAAAAACCCCAAACCCCAAAACCAGTGCATTTGAATATCCTGTGCTCTTTAGAGATATGATTTTTCTCAGAGGGCAGTTTGAGTATATGAAAAATAATGGTTTCATTCACTGTAATTTTAGATTTATACATAAACTGAGACACCAGAGGGTAAAATTGAATGTAGGAAATTATTAAAACACCTGATATACTATTTTCATAAAATTCCTAGTTTTATCTTAGTACCTGTATCTGACAGCCAAACTCTTCAGAGTCTTCAAAAGCCCTCTGAAGGCAACATGCTATATCTTCCCTGAAGTCACAGAGGAATTTGATAGCTCTCTGTCCAGAGTTCCATCTCTTTGCAGATTTTTTGTTCTCCAAGTTGTGTACTAAAAAAAAGTCTCATCACCAAAGGCAGCATATGATATATGTTTATATATTTATTAGAATAGCCACGTATGTAGGACTTTCTTCAAAAGCTACAGCAATGAAATAACAGCACAATGCTTAAACGTGTTCAAATATTTAACAGAGTTTATTTAAAGAAATTTGCCAGCAAAGATGCAGTTTTAATTAGATACAAAAGTGGGCAATGCAGTTTCAGATACAGATATGTTTCCTAGGCCTGGTCCAGAGAAGACTGTGAAATCCACAGCTGTTGAAACCCTTCAACTCAGGAAAAGCTACCTGGAAGAGACAGGGATGTTGATAAGGAATTTATTGCTCTGTACTCAGAAGCCCAAATGGCTTTGTGTTGATTGAGCAGAGCTTCCAGAAAAAGCAATTCCCTCCTGACAATGTGAGCCTTGCTGAGGCCCATCAGATTCCCTTATTGACTTACAAGAAAATCTCCTGCTTCTCTTTTCTCAGCCCCATTACCTGCATAATGCCCAGTTCTAGTCACAAGGCTAACAGCCACCCCACTGCAGAGGACTGAGCTCTGTCACCTGGCATGCATGGGAGGTTAAGGAATCATAAGGATGTGAGATACCACACAGCATCACAAATTTTGCAGTTTGGGAGCCCAAAAGTGTATCTCAGCAACAAGTCTAAGATTTACCCAGACCAGCCATAGCTCTGCAATTGCTGACTTTGTATGAGAAAAAAAAGGTTATATCTCAAACACATCAGCAAATTAAAAAAATATAGTTCCCACTCTCCAGAATCATCCAGAGGAAAGAGATAAAACATTTCTCAGACAAGAAAAAGTACATTTTCCTCTGTTCCCTGGTGATATTGAGGTCTCCTCTTTTCAAGCCACTTTGGTAAGCTTGATGTCCCCTGAGATCTGCAAAACTTTAACCAAGTTCAGAGGCTGAATGCGGTGAGTGAAGTCACAGAGCTGCCGTCCATCAAGCAGGACTCGTATTTGCTGGTGTTCACATAAGAGCTCCATCTGCAATGGAAAATGACAGGGGAGGGTGTTAGAGGTCAGCAGCAGGGTTGATTTCACCAGCATGGACTTAGATCCAATTGTTATGGGGAGAGTGAAGCACAGAGTCTACTATTTCTTCTGAAATACCCTAATAAATAACTTACCCTCTGCTGAGATGATACTGCAAAGCTCCTTGCAGGGAGTACTCTCACTAAGATTAGAGAAAGAAATGCATCTCTCCCATCAGGGCTTGAACTGTTGCTGTCTGTGCCATACTAGACTAGTTAACCTGGCAGTGTCAGTAGTTAGCTGTTTTTGGTCACATAGCCTTCAACCTTTCTCCCCTCCTTTTCTCTACTCTATTCATAGTACCAAAAAATTACCTTGAACGTATCGCCTGCTGTAAATGGAAAGTAGGGAATAGTCTTCTCTTCTTTTCCCCATTTCCCACCAATTCGTGCATTTCGGGTGATGGATTTCTCACTGAAGTTAACTGTAAATAACAGCCCAACATCTTTGTTTGCATCCACTGGATCACAGAGCAGAGTCACCGAAAAACTGAAAAAAAACCAGTTAAATGACTGGAACTTTCAGAAATGTTAAAGGACATGTTGAACATGACAGATGCTTTTAAAGACTACAGACAGCTGCTGATTTCATGTCAGACTGGTTTTTAAATTATGTTGATTCCAACCCCCAGCAGACAACCAAGATGCAGGTTGAGAATTGCACCTCTTCCTGGAGGAGAAATGCCACTTGAGTGCTCCCTTCCAGTTCACAATAGATAAAGGCAAGGAGTAGAAAATCCTGTCAGGGCAGCCAGAGAGGTCAAAGAGTAAACTCCTCCTTGACCTTTAATATAAGTGCAGGAAAACTAAGTAAAGCCATAAATTATTAACCTGTTTCATTTTCTTCCTCCAAAGAGCACAGACCTCCAAGAAAGCTTCTGAATTTAGAAAATAGGTAGGAGCGTGTATGACATGGTGAAGCCCCCATTGGTACCTTCACCTACCTCTTTGGGTTGGAGTGTACCATCCCTATGACTGTGAGTTTCATGGCTGGTCTCAGGCCACCTTTAATTTCACCAACATACTGCTCCACCTGCAGGGAACAGTGAAAAAAAATGGCTGCAGTGGGTGATGCAGGTAAAGAAGTTTTAATGGCTGCTTTGGTCACCTGATATAGATTGGTTTTCTTTTTACACGTACAAAAGAACTCAAAAATATTTCTGGCCTGAAGTACTTCTTGCACTCTCAGTATAAATTCTGTATTCTGGTATCTGAGGGAAGCAAGAGGGCTGCCATAACTGAGTGCCTGGTGACAAGGCACGGGTTGCCTGACAGGACTGCCGGCCCCCCTGGGCAGTGTCCGACCAAAACTGCTGTCAGCAAGGGGAGTGTCTGCTGTCCTTGCTCTACCTGAGTGACCTGTGTGACAGAGGCTCCTGGAGGCACAGCTCTGGAAACAGCCAGCACTGCCTTCGGGTGACTGATGCCACTCCCCAAGACCAGAGCAGGTACTGCAGGAACCGTGGTGGCCCACGTGCCTCACGAGGGACGGGACCCAGATGGCTGGTACACCTGGGATGAGATGGCAATGGCTGCTATGGTCTGGTGACACAATAAAACTCATTGCAGTGCTCCATGCAGCAGATGAAAAGCATAGTGGCAGCATGATGCAGAGCACAGACTGCATGAACTTAGTGTACCAGCTCAAATTCGTTACCAGATTTCGGTGGGCTAACTTGGCACCAACAGGCTTTACACTGGGCCAGGCAACCTCTGTGCTCCACCATAAAAGTGCAAATCCAACAGAGATGCTGCCCTGCTGCTGCATGTTCACCACACCCTCACAGGTGACTGAAAATCACACTCTTTCAAAGGCTTCTTGGTGGATGTAATTTTGTCCTTTTCACAGAGACACGTAGCTGCAAACTCCACCAAAGATCTGAGCTACATTCACTTTTTTCAAGTAATTCTCTAACAGCTTTGATGGTCAGTGGAGGAAATAATACAGGCCATAGCTGACATGGAAATATTAAAGAGAGAGCTTGGAAACAAGTGAAAGGGAAGTTTTGAGACTTCAGTTTCAGAAATGGCTTTAAAATGTAAATGTCAGAATACCACACTGCGGCATGTAATCACTCCTTATGCAGATTCACTTAGAAAGAAGCTGCTAAAAAACACTAAACGTTATTAGCAACTTGTGTAACATTGATAATATTCCAAGGCAATGCACAACAGACCCTGTTTTAGATAAAAAGAGCTTTATCGTTCCAGTGTTCTAAGGTGAAAATTCAGACAGTTTTGCTAGAAGACCTGCACAACATGCACACATAAATTCAAGACAAAAAAAGCCTTGCCTATACCTCATTTCCTAATTTCAATATACTAGTTGTATCTTCTGCTAAGATGACCTTACGCAATTTATTTTCCCGCTTTGATATTTACATCCAGCTACTTTTACGGCTTCACAGATATATTAATAAACCTCTAATTCCTAACAAGAACAATATTGGAAGAAATTAATTAAAAAGTACCTTTAAAAAGGACAGTAGTACTGCTGATTGTTAATAATGTACATTTACCCTCGCAGAAGTGGGCAGGTGACTCCTGCAGGTATGTTTTGAACTTTGTAAAAGAAAGAAAAGCATCAAGCACCTGACATGTCTAAGACAAGGAAGCAGCTTGTCAAGGAAGGAGTCTGCCTGTAGGGAGATACTTCAAACTGGATAAATCAATTAGAGTGGGTAATAAGCATAAAAGATCCCAGTATAAATGAAGTCCATCCTCATACAGTTTCCATGTCCCACTAAAGTCCCTTCCTTGCCTAGAGAAGAGACAAGATCAAAATAATACCTCAGACTGAAAGTATAGGTTGAGAAATTGCTTGTGCAGAGCTGTGCCATAGCAAGCACCATCATTAAAGGCACAGGGTATCAGAACTCAATAGATTGAACGACGACGTGGACTCATAAGTTACAGCTCATCTGGCATGGCCAGAGAAAGTTCAGAGGCATGACTGCCCACACACCATTTATCTGCTCATGTGGAGTTGACAGTACAGGTGAAAAATACTCAGGAGCCACAGGAGGTAATGGTACGAACTCCTGCAGCATCTTAGGCGGTTTATTGGTGGGTCCCAGCATATGCACATGGACATAGCTCCCTTCCCATATTTTCTATTCAGGAGCCCTGGGGACTCGCTCGGTCACTTACTTTGGCACACCTCTCTTCTGTCATGACCGCTCTGCCTCTTACACTTGCCTCGCCGCAGCACTCCACGGAGGAGTTTTTGTTTTGTGTGTCAGGACAAAAGCAAACAAAAAGCCGGAATAAAGGGAGGATGCTGGGGGGGGGGTGTCGGTCTTATCTCTGCCAAACACCGACTGGACACCACCCAGCCCAGCAGCTGAGTCATGGCCTTCTGCACCTCGACTCGCTGGGGGAGCTCACAAATAACGGGGTGAGAGGACAGGGGGGCCCGGTCGCCCCGCACAGGAGCACCTGGCCAGCCATGGCTGGAACTGTGTCTGCACCTGTACCTACACGTTTTTACACACCTATTTAAAATTCTGTGTGTGTGCATAACATACTGTATTTGTATATGTAATACATATAAACCCCAAGCCATTTATTTGTTGATACCAGTTCTGTCTTCTCTCAAATGAGCTAAAAATAATAATAATATATACAGAACTTGCAGAGCTATATATACACCTATATATAGATGTATACATCTATACAGGTCTAGGTGGGTACATCATATATAAACACCTATATATGGGTATATACGCTGTAGGTATATAAACCTATATATGTGTATAGGTATATGTATGTATAGGTGTATATATGTCGGTATAGATATGCGTGTGTGTGTATATATATATACATGTATATATATGTACCAGAGTGAAGTATACATACAGGATACCTACACGGTTATACAGCTATACAAGGGATAAATGTACGCGCCCAGACGTGTATATACCCCTGTATGCGCACCTCTCTCTCTGTGTCGGTGTGTACAGTTGTACACACGTACACAGAGGTGTACATCCCCACACGCATCTCCCCGAGACGGAGGACGCAAAGAACCCCCGTCAACCCTCTGTCCCTCACGGATCCCCGCGTCCCAACCACGGGGCGGAGCTTCGGGGGGGAGCCAATCAGAGTCAGGCGAGGCCCGAGCCCGGGGCGGAGCTGGCGCATGTGACGGTGGGCGGGGAGGGGCGCGGTTAGCGGGGAAGGGCGGGGCTGGCGCTGCCCGGGCTCCTGCGGCGGCGTCAGGCGCCCCAAAGAAAGATGGCGGGTTATTTACATCTCTCTGCGGCGCGGCCAATGGACAGGCGCCTTGCCCGCGTGCCCGCCCGGCGGCGCGGTCAGCTGAGGCGGCGGCCAAGATGGCGTTGGCCAAGATGGTGGGGCTGTGGGGCGGAGGTGCCGGGGCCGTGCAGTAGAACCCAGCGCCGCCGGGGTGGCCGCGCCCTGCCCCTACAGGGAACGCGGCATCGCCTGCGCCTGTGTCACCCCTGCCCCTCGTCCTGGGAAGATGCATTCTTTTGGGAGCGAAGAAGCGGTCTCACTGGAGCGTCTCTTTGGGTTCTTCTGCGAGTGCGTGCGGCATGGGCACTGGGAGCTGGCGCAGGCCTGTGTGCCCCAGCTGAGCCAGGGGCGCGGCGATGGCCCTGGGAAGGTGGAGGCAATTCTTCAGGCTCTGGTAGCTTGCCCCGTGGGGGTGAGGTGAGTAAGGTACTGCTGTGGCTCAGCAGAATTGAGTGTGAAGGGAGGAGGAGCAGTTAGCTTAGTGTTGACTGTGGGGAGCCAGGTAGGATCTGGGAAGCAGCACCTCTTTCACTGCTGAGGTGCCTTCGGTGTGTCTAGTGGTGCTGTTATGTGAACTTTGACACATTATCACTGACCAAGAACTTAGCAGGCTTCCCAGCCCACTGGGATAATGAGCTGTGTTCATTTATGTGACATGGTGATTGAGACAAGCTTAAAACTACTTATAAGCATTTGAGAACTGATTTTGTTAGATTTTATTGAAGGAGAAAGAACAGCTCTTGAAATTACATTCCTTTGACACTGAACTTTGGTTAATTTAGAAATGGAACCACCAAGATGAACCTATGGTTATTTAAAATGTTCTCTTGTTTCTAGCTCTTGAAAAACCTCAGAGTTTCTAAAAATGTAAACTCTAAAAAACTCAAATTATGCTGTTGATTTCTTATTTTTCTCGCACCAGAATTTGAAATGCCATTTGTTTTACTCAATCCTAGTTACGTTTTATCAGTGCTTTTCAAGTAGATGCATATGAAGGGTGACTTTCTGGCACTTCAGGGAACATTGGTATTCCCCCTGTATAATCAGATGATTATATTTCTTCACATTTAAGTTTGTGGAACATTTTGGTAAAGGTTCCAAGAAACAATTTACATTAACAGCAGTTAAAGAGTCTGTAGGAAGGTGTGCACATGGATAGATGAATATTGCTAATAGCCATAAGCATTTTCAATCTTTTTATCTTTGATAGATAGGCTATCACATCTAAAGGTTTTGGTTAGTAGTGCTGAGATTTTTAAAGGACAGTAAAATATATTGTCCTTTTTCTTTTTCCTAGTCCCTTTGACAGTACTGAATATGTTTCCTAACTGTGTAGACTTTGGGATGTGTATATAAGTACTGGAGCACTTGAAAAGCTGAAGAAAATTAGAGGGATTCTTTGTTTAATTGGTACATTGCTTTGCTTTTAGTTTGGGCATAGAGCTGCACTTGGGCTGCTGTGACCTAAAACTTAGTTTCAGTTTTTTGGGGAGAAATAGACAGAACAGGAAATAGCAGTGCTTGGCAAGTGGTCACATTTCAGAGAAATCTGCTGAAGTGCTCCAAGAGGAGTATACAGACTGAACTTTAGACCAGAAATAAATTTAATTGTTTTGAAGAACTATGCCTGTGGTATTTGGCCAATCTAAAAGCAGTTATTTGCACAGCAGAAATCACTGAGTTAATGTGCAAGCAGCACCAATATTCTGGTTCCTCTTCATTCTTTTCTGTCTGATTTGTTTTCAGCTTTTTAGTCATCTTTGGTTTTATTTTGCACAAAGAAATACAAAAATCAAAATGACCTCTGACTGTTTTCCTGGATCTTGGGCCTTGTATAACCCAGTGTATGTGCTTCTTGCTTTTGTAGATGGGGACAGAATTCTAGCCCATGGAGAACAGCATGGCTTTGGCTTCTTGTGCTGGAAAAATGGCTTGCCAGGAATCAGGTACAGAAACATCTAGCTGACTTGCAAATGCAGTTTATAGCTCTGACTTCTAGCTGACTTCCAAGTGCAAAATGTCTGCCCAGTTGCTTATAATGGAACTAAGTTCTCAAGGTATCTGGAGACATGCATTGCTTTTACATTTAAGAAATTTGTCAAGAAACAACTGTTGATCTTCACACTGGAGAGAAAAATTGTTTTGGTTTCTTTTTCAGGATATCAGAACTTTCGTTTCATACGAATGAAAAGCATGAGTGTATCAACTTCTGCATTTGTGTAGCACCCTTCTTACATTAACAATGAAATAGCTCAGGCATCAGACAATTCTTTATAAGTTTTAGATGGTGAGGGATGTGTGTACTTTTTTTAAAATTAATTTGTCTGTGTCACTACTTAGGCTTGCATTTTTTCTTTACATTCTGAGGAATTGATGGGTTTGTAATTCTTGACAAAGTGACGCTTATCTCTGTTTCCAAACGTATGGATGAATAAAATCAGCTGGTGTGAAAGCAGAACCTAATTGTGGAATAGCCTTTAACTGAGAATAAGGTATCTTCAGAGCAATATTTCAGTCTGCCTCACAATGTTAATGAAATAGCTAAGATACTTTTATATGGTAATGTAGATAAATAAAAGCTTTATTGACTAACATATTTCCCATACTCATATATGGTTTCAGAAAACTGTTCCAATTGTTCTTCAGAGAGAAACTGAATTTTTAGTGTTCTTGGAAGAACTACAGAAGGATATTTCTGAGGAAGTCCTAAAGGTAAGCTACTTCTGTGCCCTATTTCTTCTTGTTAGTTATGCAGAATGTCCAGTTATGCAGAATGTGGGATCGAAGTTAATGCTTCTTGCTAACTTGACTGCCTGAGAGGTTAATGTGTTAATAATCTTCCAGGCAGTTGAAAGAGACTGTAATTCAGATCCCTTTCTGAAGTTAATCCAATGTGCCTGCAAGTGATTTCTCTGGTCAGAGTGGAGGCCGCAGGCAGGCAGCACAGGTTTTTCTACATGGTATTTCTAACACATGTCAGTCCTGACTGCAACTACGTACCACAGTTTTATATCTATAGACACCTGTAATAATCATAAACCTAAAACCCACTGTGAGCTAAAATAAACTATAGTCAGCAAGCACATTTTTAAATTATGTCTATTTTCTTTTTTTTTTTTCTCCTGAGATCTTAATTTTCATCTCCTGCACACCCCTTTGTCCTGTTCCTGGAAGTTTTTGAATGCTCTACTGTTATCACTGGTGTGTTGTTTGGTAATTGATATGATGTGTGCTCTGAGGTCCAGGACCCATTTTTACATAACTAATTAATACATGCGGACTAATTTGTCTCCCACAGCATACTCCTGGAAAAGCTGGCAGCCCACGGCTTGGACAGGGGCACTCTGTGCTGGGTCAGGAACTGGCTGGAGGGCCGGGCCCAGAGAGTGCTGGTGAACGGAGTTGCATCCAGTTGGTGGCCGGTCACCAGTGGTGTCCCCCAGGGATCAGTGTTGGGCCCAGTCCTTTTTAACATCTTTATCGATGATTTAGATGAGGGCATTGAGTCCATCATCAGCAAATTTGCAGATGACACCAAGTTGGGAGGGAGTGTCAATCAGCTGGAAGGCAGGAGGGCTCTGCAGAGGGACCTGGACAGACTGGAGAGTTGGGCTGATTCCAATGGAATGAAGTTCAACAAGGCCAAGTGCCGGGTCCTGCACTTTGGCCACAACAACTCCCTGCAGCACTACAGGCTGGGGACAGAGTGGCTGGAGAGCAGCCAGGCAGAAAGGGACCTGGGGGTGCTGATTGACAGGAAGCTGAACATGAGCCAGCAGTGTGCCCAGGTGGCCAAGAAGGCCAATGGCATCCTGGCCTGGATCAGGAACAGTGTGGCCAACAGGAGCAGGGAAGTGATCCTTCCCCTGTACTCTGTCCAGTTCCGGGCCCCTCAGTTCAGGAAGGACATTGAGGTGCTGGAGCAGGTCCAGAGAAGAGTAACAAGGTTGGTGAAGGGACTTGAGCACAAGTCCTATGAGGAGAGGCTGAGGGAGCTGGGGTTGTTCAGTCTGGAAAAGAGAAGGCTTAGAGGCGACCTCATCACTCTCTTCAACTACCTGAAGGGAGGTTATAGCCAGGTGGGGGTTGGTCTCTTCTCCCAGGCAGCCAACAAGGGGACATGGGCTCAAGCTCTGCCAGGGGAGGTTTAGGTTAGATGTTAGGAAGAAATTCTTTACAGAGAGGGTTATCAGGCATTGGAACGGCCTACCCAGAGAGGTGGTGGATTCACCATCCCTGGAGGTTTTTAAAAAGAGATTGGACGTGGCCCTTAGTGCCATGATATAGTAATTGGAGTTGGATCAGGGGTTGGACTTGATGATCTTGGAGGTCTTTTCCAACCCAATCTATTCTATGATTCTATGATTTATTTGAGAAATGCATGGAAATATGCAAAGATGGATTAATATCAAAAGCAAGTATAGAGCAGAAAATCAGGAAAGTTACTAATTATAGAACTGCCCTAATTTGGTGTTAGTTACAACAGATTTAGACCTGACATGGTGTGTTAAATGTCATAAGATGTTGCTTCTAGTCCTAGAGATTCTAACTCTTTAAAGATTTTTTTTTTGTTTACCATTTTTAAGAGGAAAATGGTAAGTTATTATATTCAGAAGCTCTTGGCAACTTTTAAATATGAATAAGGAAAAGATATTCAATACTTTCCTAAAGATGCAGAACTAACAATTACAGGATGGAAACAATCAAGATAAACTTGAATGTTGATTAAGGTAAATCTCCTGGAAGTCTGTTAATGAGTAATGAAGTCTGTACATGTTGCCATCTAACCTCCAAGGTCACGAATGATTCCACCATTGTCCAC